TTTTTTTTTTTAACTTTTTTAACTTTTTTTTTATTTCCTTATTTATGAAAATTTATGAAAAAAGAAAAAAAATCGTTATAATTAAATTTAATTGTTGTTTATTTTCTTATTTTTATATTATTAATTAATTCTTTTCTTTTTCTTATTTCACTTTATTGAAACTATTGTTAATGATGGATATCTTCGTATTTCTTTAAAACAACTAGCATCAATAGGTCCTTCACTTAAAATAACTCCATTCTCACTTTCATAAAATTTTATTCCTTTTTTCATTGCTTTTTCAATATCAATATAAATTACTATATTACATGTACTTCTCATTCCACTTTGTTCTTCTTTTATTTCTTTTGGAAGTCCTTGTGCCATATGAATATGAAGTCTTCCCATTTTTTGTAATCCATTTTTGATTATTGAATTAAGATGTTTCATATATGTTCCATGAATTACAACTGGATATAATGTTGCATCTGTTATCTCTTTCATTGCTACTTCAACTTTCATTGAATGTCCTTGATTCGCTCTAATTCTCTTTTCTTCTCCTTCCCCTTCAATTGAATATCTTTTCTTTTGGTCTTTTGCCACAATACTTATTATTTTTTCTTCACTAACTCCTTTCATTTGTCTATTATTTAATAAGTCTTTAATTATTACCCATCCATCATTTGTAATTGGAATTCTTTCTTTAATTGCTCCATGTCGAAGAAGATACGATAGTCTTTTACTTATTTCTACATCACTTTGGTATTTGTTCATTACTAATAGAAATAATTTAAAGTTCAAAATGAAGTTTAATGATTCATAAATTCTTAAAAGAAAACTATGAATTAGATAATTAAGATGGTTTGTCCCTTTTATTTCAATTAAATAGAAAAATATCTCATCATTAGGGAAAAAAGAATCATAACAAACAAAAAAGACACCAAGGTAAAAAGATAGAAAATATCACTACTTCTATTGATATTGACTCATATTTAAATTGTATTATGGTTGATCCAGAAATTCTTTCTATTACAACATCTCCTCATCCACAAGAAATTAAAATTTCAATATTTAATTATTCAGATAATGACTTTAAAGTGTCATTCTCAAATAAAGACATTGGACTTGAATGTAACAATGAAATTGTACAAAATGATAAAGCCACTATAATACAAAAACAAGTTAGTTGTCCATCTATTCCAAATGAACATATTATTTTACCAATTATAGTGACATTTGTTTCAGTTACTAATAAACAATTAGAGTTTCATAAAACATTTAAAATAGAAATAAAAGAAGGAGAAGAAATAAAAGAAATAACAAACAGTACTATAAACAAAGAAAATAAACAAAATGAAAAGAATGTTAATATTTGTATTAAAAATGAAGAAGTTATTGTCATTGGAAAAGAAACTCCAACAAAAATAGAAGTTGATAATCAAGAAGATATTCCAATTAGAATTGAAATAGAAGAAGACAAAAATCAAATATTTACATTTAAAACAAGAAAAGAAGTCATTAAAGAAAAAACAAAAAGAATAATGAAGGAAAGTTTTATTTTATTCAAGAAATATAGTGAAGGACCATTTGATATAACATTTAAAATTATTAAAGAAAGTACAGGAGAATGTATTGGAAGTAAGAAAGTTTGTTTTGAAAGTATAGTAATTTATCCAGAAGAAGAAATAAAAAAAGAAAGTGGAGAAAATAAGAAAGAAAAAGGAAAGATTGAAGACTTCCAAATAACTGTTATGAATTGTTCTAAGAATAAAAGAGAATATGAAGTAATGATTTTTATTGGGAATTATAGTGGAGAAAAAGTTTTAGTTAAATATAAAGAGAAAGAACATATTAAAGGAATAAATATTAAAGGAAGTTTTAAACAAGAAATGGGAAATGGAGAAGAAAGTTATATGATATTTGGAGTAATAACAAATAAAAAAGAGATAAGTACTGAAATAGGATTTTTATTTGAACTTGAAACAAAGAAAATAATAGAAGAAAGAGAAGTTAAATGTCAAATTCATAAAGAAGAAGATAAAAAAGAAGAAATAGAATTTCCTAAACTAAGTAATACAGAAAGAAAAGAAACACAGAAAGAAGAAATCAAAGAAAATAAGAAAACAGACCCAACTCTTTTGTTGAAAAAACAAAAGAAAAAACTTGAAAAAGAAAGTTATTTAAAAGAATGCAATTGGTATAATCTTAGAAAAGATTTAAATAAAGAAGAAGAAATAATATGGATAATTACAATGATAGAACATATTAAAGAATATGAAGGAATTGATATTAATATATTTAATATGATAATCAATGAAAATATGGAATTTAGAATGAAAGAAATAAAAAGAAATGAAAGAAAACTAGAAGAACAAATTGACCAAATGACATCATTCTTTCTGAAACAAGAAACAGAAGCAACAATAAAAGAAGAAGAAGAGGTATTTGCAATAGGAACAACATTGTTATGTGGATTAATTGGACAAATACCAAATATTCCATATTGGATATGGGATGAACATTTAGAAAAAAATGAAGAACCAATTAAATTAGATGAATTACCTATTGACCAAAAGTACCAAAAACTTGGAGAGTTATGTGTTCAATGTTGGAGAGGGTCAATAGGATATAATGAAATTAAATTAAAACTAAAGGAATATACAGATTCAATAGAAGTTAATGAAATTATTGAAGGAATTAAAAAGAAAGCAAAAGAATATCAAGAAAAAGAAATAAAACGAAGAGAAGAAGCACAAATTATACTTGAAGAATTTAACAGAAAAAACCCAATGATTACCATAAACACAGATAATAAACCAATCACAATAATAAAAAAATTTGAACAACCAATTCAAACAATTCAAAAACAAACTATTCCTTCTGTTTTACAAAAATATGAAAAGCAAGAATTCCCACCATTTAAAGAGGGAGATAGAATACCATCTGGAAGTCATGACTTAAAGAAAATAGTTGAAGAAACAAAAGACTTTATATTAAAAGAATGTCATGCAAAGGATATTAAACAAGTTAGATTTTATAACAGAAAATTAAATAAGCCAAGTCAACCACCATTTTACCAAAATCGATCTAATATATTAATTGTATTTAAAATAGATACTAGTGTATTTGGATTATATATTAATGATAAAACACAAATAAACAAATCAACATTTATATTAACAAAAGACAATTATAAAATATTGTCAATTCAAAACCAATATAATACACAACCATTTGTATTTACAATGATTAAAGCTGAAAATAAACTACAATTTTTTGGAAAATCACATGAAAATGTAATGGAATTAAATAACATTTTCTTAATTACAAAAAAAGACTATAAAATGATAATTTATGAAAAAACACTTAATCAAAGAATGACATGCGGTCTTCATAACCCATCAGAATATCTTAGTCTAAACAAAAATCCTATTTCATCAACAAAAAAATTAGTTGATGAAATAATTTATTATGATTTAATAATTGAATAATTAAATTTTATTATTATTATATTAATTGTTTTATAAAAAGAAAAATTGAAATTAAGTTTTGAAAAATAATCAACTTAGTAATCTTGTCCTTGTTTTGGTTGTGGAGTTGGATTTAATTTAATTAAATCATCAATTCTTAAAATTGTAATAGCTGCTTCTGTAGCAAATTTAATACACTTCACTTTACTTACTGAAGGTTCAACTACTCCTGCTTCAAGATTATTTCGTATATCTCCTTTTATTAAATCTAATCCATCATAACATGGTTTGTCTATTTTTTGTGCTCCATAATGTCTCTTTCTCATTTGTGAAAGTAATTCACTTGCATCTTTAGCTGCATTTTGTGCAAGTACTTTTGGAATGACACAAAGTGCATCTGCAAATGCTTGAACAGCTAATTGTTCTCTTCCTTCTAATGTCGTAGCATATTCATTTAAATGAACTGATAATGCAACATCCGTAGCTCCTCCTCCAACTATTACTGTATTACTTTCAAGTACTCTTCTTAATACACATAATGCATCATGAAGTGATCTTGACATTTCATCTAACATTGTTGCATTTGCCCCTCGAAGAAGTACTGTAGCTGATCCTCCATCTGAACATCCTCTAAGAACAATAAGTTCATTATCTCCTACTTTTTCTTGTTTAAATGTGTCACATTCTCCTAAATTACTCTTATCAAATTCTTCTATTCCTTCTAAATTAACTAATGTTGAAATTACTTTTGCTCCTGTAGCTTTTCCAATTCTATGTAAATCTCTACTTGATACTCTTTTTGCAACTGCAATTCCTTTCTCTACAAAATATTGTGTACATAATTCATCAAGTCCTCCTGATATAAAAACTACATTTGCTCCTGATTCTATAATCATTTGAACTCTTCTTAATACTATTTTCATTTCTTCTTCTTTACATTTATCAATTTCTTCTGGATTATTTATCACTATTTGAATTCCTTGTCTCATCTTTTCTTTCATTAAATCAATTTCAAGAACAGCAACTTTACATCCTTTAATTTCTTTTGGCATTTCTTCACTTGCAATAACACAATTAACTGCACATCCATCAATAAGAACTGACTCTTTACTTGATTTCCCATATGCCTTTAATACTGTAACTCCACTTACTGGATATTTAGCTTTCCCTTTTTCATTTCTTTTAACTTTCTTTATTGTATCTACTGCTAATTTACTAAAAAATTCTCCTTCTTCTCCTCCAATTACTTTTGATGATATACATGTTGCTGCTGCTTCTTCAAGAACTTTCCTATCAAGTTCATTTGTATGAACAACAATTTTTCTAATAAATTTAACTGCTTCTTGCATTGCAAGTCTAAACCCTTGAATTACAGTTGATGGATGAATTTTTTGTTTTATTAATTCATTCCCATATTTTAATAATTCCGCCGCAAGAATAACAACTGTAGTAGTTCCATCTCCTACTTCTTTATCTTGTAAATCTGCAAGTTCTACTAATACTTTTGCTGCTGGATGTTCAACTTCTAATAATTTTAATATTGTTGCTCCATCATTTGTAATTGTAACATCTCCAATATCATCTACAAGCATTTTATCAAGTCCAACTGGTCCAAACGATGTTTTAACAACATTTGCAATTGCAACCGCTGCCATAACATTTTGTGTTCTAACATCTGCTCCACTTTCCCTTTCCCCATTCAATGGAAGGTCTGTTCTTGCGTATGCCATTCTTCTCTATTTATACTTTCTAGTTCAACTTTACTTTTTTCTCTACTAACTTTTTTATTATTTTTATAGTTTTTCCCTTCTTATTTCTGAAACACTTTTTCCCTAATCCTAAAATTTAACTTATTTATCTTTTATTTTGTTATTCATTTTTTCTATCATCTTTTCAATTTCTTTTATTTCTTCTTCTATTCTTTTATTTTCTTCTGTCTTTTTCTTTTTATTAATTATCTCTTTGTCTTTCTTGCCTCCTATTCTTTCTTCCCCTTCTCTTTTCTTTTCTCTTTTTTTAAATTTAAACCTTCCTTTAGTAATCCCAAATTCTTCTTCAATCTCTTGGATTTTCTTTTCTTCTTCTGTAGTCTCTTTTCTCTTTTCCTTCTTTTCAACTTTTGGCCACTCAACCTTTAATTCTTCTCGTTGCTTTTCATTTTGTTGAATCATCTGAATAATGAATTGCTTTGCTAAAATATCTGTTTCTTCTTCTTTGATGTTCCGTTGCATTTTCTTTCTCCTTTTGTCAATTACTAAAAAAGATGAACTTGATTATTATCATTATGGAATTTAGAGTTGCTGAACAATATCGTTTGGTCCATAAAATAGGTGGTGGTTCTTTTGGTGAAATTTATTCTGCTGTTGATGTTACTGATAATTCAAAACGTGCTGTGAAATTAGAAAAGAATGATAGAAAACCACAACAACTAGCATTTGAACATCGTGTTTATTCGTTGTTTGTTGATGAAATAGGATTTCCAAAGATTTATCATTATGGAACTGAAGGTGATTATAATACTTTAGTGATGCAATTATTAGGTCCTTCATTAGAAGACTTAATGAAAGCAAAACATCAATTAACACTTCTTTCTGTATGTTTAATTGCAGAACAATTATTATCACGTTTTGGTTTGTGTTAATTGTCTTAGAAATTGATTTACATCATCTATTTATCTTATAGAAGTCATTCATAGCAAATCAATAATTCATAGAGACGTAAAACCAAACAATTTCTTATTAGATAATAACACAATTTATGTGATTGATTTTGGATTAGCCAAAAGATATCGAAGATTTGAAACAAGACAACATATCCAAATGAAAGATGGATATGGTTTGGTTGGAACAGCACGATATGCTTCTATTCATGCACATCTAGGTATGGAACTCTCAAGAAGAGATGATTTGGAGAGTTTAGGTTATCTTTTTGTTTATTTGTTGAAAGGGAGTTTACCATGGCAAGACTTATCGTCTTCTCCTGATGGTAAATACACAGGTATTGGTGATATGAAAATGAAAATAATCCCATCTGAACTTTGTAATGGTCTTCCTCATGAATTTGTTGATTATTTGGAATATACTAAACAACTTCAATTCAATGAAAAACCTGATTATACTGCATTACGTTCTATGTTCCATAATTTACTTGTTACAATCAATCCAGATAAAGAAGACTGGCATATCGAATCAATCTAATTTATTGTCTCTACCAATTTCATTTTTTATTTAGTCTATGTATTTTTTTTAAAGAAAGAATTGAATTATAAGACTGATAGTCTTGATTTACTTAATTTATTTTGTTTATCAGTTATATCACTAAACTCATTTTTGTTCAACCAACTATATTTCAATACGTATCACAAAATTTATTCATTCAATATCTTTTTTAATAATAAAAAAAAATAAATTATGTTGAATTAATGATAAAATGACTATGAAATAAGAACCTCAATGATGGTATTGTTAAAATGGATTAATAACTATCTAATAACAATCAATAGTTTATTTCTTGTTGA